TTTCTCCCCTCTGCGGGCAAGCGGCCACGGATCACTCCCGCAGCCCACTCGGCGAGCTGAGAGCCGGTGATAGATATTCCCACTTCACGGTTAGTTTTGTTCACATCCAGTGGTGCCCTTCAAACTGCTTCACGAGGACTTAGCATTTAAAACAATCCCAGTAATTCCTCAGTTAAGAAGAAACAGAACACCTATCTGTACAGAATAAACTTTCTTAAGGATCTTCCTGATTTTTTTTTTTTTTCCCTTTTCTAAAATACGCACTAGGTCGCTCTACCTTAGGACTGTTCTGAAGAGAGTCACTTTTGGAGCTGCAGTCCGCACTTCCTTGTTCAGAAAAATGTCTTTGGTGCTTTGTCTCTGAGCAGCAGAGCTTTGTGGGAACCTACAAAATGGTAGGTAGTGCCAGAGCCCTGCAAGGGTGCCGAGGAGGAAACAGAGGAAAACCTGCTCTGGGTTTTAAAATGGCTTTCCAAAGTGTAAAAGCAATGCTAAAACGGAAGAGAAAAGATAGGTATGGTACATTGAAAATATTTTCTGAACCTTTATTAATTCAGTTAAAAAAAATGCATAGATCTTTTTGAAAGATATATCAGTGTCCTAGAAAAACAAGTTATTTTAGTAGAGGAGAAAACGAGAATGACGTTTCTCTAAGTCTGTTCCTGCATTTATGAGAAATAAAGAGTTTCCAAAGACTTGAAACTTCCTACCAGTGTTCACGTTTGCTGTACAATAAAAACTTGTTGCTGCTTTTGTATATGCAGACCTCGTTAACAAAACTGAAACCTTTGCGTGTTCTGAATTGTAAGTGCAGGTTAGCCATCTGTGGTTCTGTCTCTTTGCGTAGCTGTGTTTGTGTTGTATCTTTATGTTTGTATGTGTTGTCTATGGTGCCCTGCTGATAACAGGTAGGTGCTGTCTCAGATGGGTCCGAGTTAAATGACTGGGTTTTGGGTCTGTTCCTGGTACAACCTGAATTAGAATTTTGCAGCTTTTATCTTGATTCTTCTTGAGCTTTTGTGTGGCTTCTTAATACTCTCCTGATACACTTGTCAAAGACTCGAAGTAAGAGCATGATCTTAGCAATGTGAAAATTTTGGGAAGACTTCAAAGCCTCAGATGTGGGCTTCTCGCATTTCTGCTGTCGTTCTTGATGGCATTCTTCAGAAAGATGAACAGGATCAATAGGCTCAGAAATGCCTGTGAAGCTCATTTTCTGTGTAAAAGTACCGGTTTGCTCAAGATGAGAAGAGTTACCCTGTTGTTACTAAATCGCCAAGCTGAACTAGATAGGCCTTGATAATAAGGAACAGTAAATTTTATGATAGGTCTTTGCCTTTTTTTTTTTTTTTTTAAATATTTAGATGTAGAAGAACAGAGCAGGCTGGGTACATGCTAATGATCCTTGTTCTCCTGGCCCTTGTTCTGTCTAGGTAAACCTCTGTGCCTAGTTTTAAAAATCCAAGCCTTAGACTGTAGTCTTGAAACCTCACAGTGGCAGCTACTGAAAGTAGCGCTGTCTCTCCAACAGCCTCCAGATACCAGCAAAGATGGGTCTTTGCTGTCAGTAGACAAAAAACCAGCCATAACCTTTAGTGCCTAAGGGTTGAATGGTCTTCGGGTATTTGTGTGGACTAAAGAAGCCTGTTACAGTGTGGTTTGGGTTTTTAATATGACACGTTTTCCCTGAACTGTTAGTTATCACCTATAGAAAGCCATACCATAACTGTGGTGCAAAGACAGGTGCATCATTTTGCTTTTTGTAGTGGAGCATTTAATTTGGCTCCAGTTTGCAGGCGCTAATAAAGAGCTCGTTATCTATAATTTTTCCCCAGGTTTTCAAATCTGAAGAAATTGTTTAAATATCACTTGGTATTTTAGAAGCAGAGAGAGGTGCTCTATGCAGTGTGATTCTCCAGCAAAGCAGTGGAAATGAGGGACTATTCACAACAGTGTTAATCTTACCCTCTTCCCAGGTTATTTTGAGGGAGGCTTCTCCATAGAATCAAAGCCAGTGGAGCAGGTATATGGTTAAAAAGATAAAAGGGCCCAAATATCAAAGTAGCTTCATTACACAGATAACCTTGGTGTCTAGGGGGTTGGAAGGCAGTGTCTTTTTTTGTACCTTTTGTGGTGATATGTAACTCTCTGTGCTGGAATATGTGCCCATATTCAGTGGCTGTTCTGTCTTAACTTTCCTCAGTGTACAGCTCTAAAGGTAAGGCCCTGCTTGTTGGTTATAAACAGGATAATTTTATCAACTGTTGGGAGAGACATCCTCTTATCAAATAGCTGAATGCTGATTATGCAGTGTGGTGTAGGCCAGTTGTGGTTTACACTTATTAAAGCATAATTACAGCTCAGACAAAATATAATTTAAATGCTGTGAGCACATTACTGGCTCTAGCATATAGCAAAAAGAAAAAGAAGTTTTGATCAGCAGGCCCTAGAGACTATGTAAACTTATATATGGAAAACTCATGTGTTTTTTCAACTTTGGCTCTGTAGTTTACATCTGCTTCAGGTCTGTTTGGAGAATAAAGTTCAGTTCACTGAAGTATTGAAGAGCCGCTGACGCCGGTGGGAGGTTTTCTGTTGACTTCAGTGAACTGTGGATCAGATCTGAGGAGATAAATCCAACTCTTTCTGAAATCACTCAGAATTAGTGCGAGACTGGGATCTGGCCTAGGTCTTCACGAGATCATTTCCAGGTCTTTCCTAGAAACGGGGTGAGTGCGCTTGTGATACTCCCCAGGCACAGAAAAAGGACAAAAACTGCTTTCAGGGAAAGTTGCATGGATGTGTGAGTCACCCCTGAGGTATCAGGAAATTATGCAAGGTGGGGCTCTGACATGCACTGTGGTCAGCAGATCAGAGCGATGAGTAGAGCAAGTGTGGTCGGTGCCATTGGAGTATTTGGCAATCTAGCTCTAACTGAGATTCTTCAGAGGCTGCAAACCTGATTGGTTTTGCATGTACCCTTCTGAAGATAACCAAAGTCTCATCCCTAGAAAATAGGCCATGTATTATGTATACCAAATTGTAAACCATAGTGTCAACTAGTGTTTTCCTAACAAAACTAATGACTTTTGAAAATTCATGATGACTTTTAACTGGTTCAGGCTGACAAAGTTAGAAACAACCAGAAACAGTCTTAAGCTTAAAAGTGCTGACAGGTTTTCTGGACAGTAGACATTGCTATATACATTACCTATATTTTAGAACTTGCTCAGGAACTTTTTATTAGTACAGTTTTCGAATGTCTGTATAGAATGAAGCCATGAAAGGACTGTAGAGGACAATACTGAAAAATTGTAGAGTATCTTGCCCGTGCTGTGTTTCTGAAGACTCCGTACCTTCACAAACTGATGTATGCTGCTGTTCAAAGAGTTGTAATAAAACCGGTGCTTCTGTGTATTTTATTTTTCCTGCAGGTTTGAAAGACACTACGTAACAGGTAAGTATTATTATCTTGATTTGAATAATGAGAGCATTTGCAGTCATGGACAGCTTAAATGTTTTTGGCTGAATGGAGCTGGTCAAATAAGAAAATAAATGTGTCTTTCTGCTGGACTGAGTGACTGACTACTTCTGAACACTGTAAAAAAGCTAGTTTACATGTTTTGTTTATTTTTGGCCTGTTTCTAGATCATGCCTTTTTTTTTCCTTTAATAATAACAACAACATGGTTTACAAACCTAACTATGCTTGTATTTTGCCGAAATTGTTATGCACACTGGAGATGGAAATTAGTTCAGAGGCAGTGGCAACATTCATAAAGGTGTCCTCAGCTTCAGAAGCCCACAACTTGGTTCTCTTATCAGGCTGGAGACCTTTGACTGAAAGTAAGGGTATCTGCTCAGAGGTTGGTTCAGAGGTTCATAAAGGTAGACAGGGCGTAGCCACAGGAGAGAAATGCTCATGCAATTAATGTGTGCTCTATTTGCATCTTTGAGGTTAATAGAAACCAACCTGCCTGATACGTTGTGGCATCCTCACCTCTGTGCCAGGGCTGGCACTTAACTCCAGTGGGTGGGGTCAGTAACAGGCTTGTCATCCTCGGCTGTACTTACCTGAAAATGCATCTCCATGGCTCTTATACCTACAGCATTTTTTAGAACATTCAAAGCTGCTTAAAATGCACAGCATTTGATGTAAAAGATGTAGTAACTCTTCATCCAGACTACCTGGTAAGAGAGAGGCAAGCATATTAATGCCTGTGCCCAATCCCTGAGAACACTCACTGGTTTAGTATGGTTTGGAAAGGGCTCAGAGGAAAACATGAGATCGCAAGTTGTAGTAAGAGAAGCTCCGTTTACACTAAAATTGTTTCAATTCTGGCATCTATGATACTTTTTTTGCCCTTTTAGCCATTCTCTGTGAAAGAAGATACAGATGGAACTTTGTCAAAACACTTGTTAAAAACTGTTTGAGAGTCCTAAATAGTTTTGTCATGCGATAAAACATGTTAACATCTCTGTGCTGTAGGCAGAACCAAAGCAGATGGTTGTACAGACAGATAGTTGTCCCGTCTCTCGGTATAGTGTTATCAGAAGGCACATTAAATACTTTTCTCACAACCTGGAGGTGTCTGCCATTAAATTTGCTTGTGTCAGACTCATCTATATATACAGGCTAGGGCGTGGATTTACAGTATGTCAGGTAACCCACAGTAACAACCTATGTAGACATCTGTACCCAGCAGTAAGCAGAAGACACTTATTCCTGAACGTAAACAGGGTCACGGCATGCGCACAGGCAGTTTCCAGGGAGCAGCTAACGTGCTGGAAATCCCCACCCACTCTTACCTCACTGTGACTTGTCTGTAGTCATTCCCCAAGCAAAGGTGAATAAATACAGCCATCAGCCAAGCAGAAAAATCGCATCCCACAAACACCATTTAGGGTAACACAACAGGCAGCAGAGAGTGGGGTTAAAGGAGCTAGGTGTTCCATAGCTCACAGAATGCTTTTTTTTTTCACTCCCTAGCTGAAATAAATTGCTTTTGGTTTGTAATGACTCTCCTAGTTTGTGAGTTTCCCTTATTTTTCCTGTTAGCAATAGCTGTTGCCAAAGTTCAGCTGTTTCTCTTTGCACTTTAATTTACAGCCTTCGTACTGGTTTTTATTGCTTCAACCTCTGAGTGAGAGAACTTTTACAACCCGTGATTACTGAACTCAGAGAAACAAAGCTTTTTTGCCCTGCTGTGAAGTAATTATAGAGCCCATTGCTTCTTGGGAGGGGCATTCAATGTTTAACAAACTCTGGCAACTCTAATTTTAACTGTGTGAAGCCTGGGCCATTAGATGGGATTGAAAAAAAAAAAAAGAATCCTGACTCTTTCCAGCTCACATTTTAACTTGCCTGGTTTTAGTCTCTAAAGGGCTGTCCTTGAAGTTCTGCCTTCCAACTGTTGAACTTCATGCTGTTCATTTCTTAGCAGTATAAGGGGACTGAAGCCAAACTATTTGCATATGAAAATAATTTTCCCTTCAGAAATTCTAGCTACATCACTCTTGATTAATCCTTTCACAGGGCGAGTCTTCTGAATGCCGTGCCATCAAAATAAGGCTCTTGACAATAATGAAATTGTCCTGTCTTAATTACTACTATTGTTTCCTATTATAGGGGCTGTGGTCATGGACAAAGATTCAATTGTGTTCAACAATGGAAAAATGGAGAATAAAAGAGATACCGTGTCTGAAAGAGTTTGTGATCTGAATTATGTAACCAGTAAACTGAGAGGTAAATCTAAACTTTGGAATTGGAAAACAAGATGAGAAAGATTTTATGCAGTTTACACGTTTTGTCTAGTTACAGAATCATAAGCCTGCTAGCTAAGAGTTTGAAGGCCCCCACCTGCTCTTCATCCACTCAAACAGGTATTATTTAGGAAATGCTGAACTTGCTGCCAGGAAAAAAATTAGGACATTATTTTGAAAGCACTGAAGTTTTTTTACTTTTCATCTCCCTAGATGAAAAGGTAAGTATGTTTCCTGCATAATAAGTTACTTAGATCTTTTGTGGTTTTGTGTACTAATGTGTACATAGACATTACAGCAGTGAGACTGCATGTGTCCTACTAGATGTGAACGGAATATTTTCAGCTAATGTGATTTTATAAAAACTTAAGAACTTTATAGAAATAACTATAATTATTAATAATAAAACTTAATAACTTTATAGAAAACTTAAAAAAGTAAAATTCTTGACGTTTTATTGGTTCAGCTACATTTTCATCGCGAAGGATTTTTGAGGTCTAGGGTTTGCTAGTTGTTTCTGAGAGGAAAGAGGAGAAAAATACCAGCTGAAGAGTTCGCATTTTTTAATGTGAGTGTAGGCAGTCCCACTCCTCTGCACAGGCGCAGTTCACCAGCACCACCTTGGGCACAGCCAACTCACACCTGCTCTGGTGTCTCAGGAAGCCTGGTGCTCTTGGCAGCTGAAACAAATGGCTCCAGGGTCATGGTGGCACAGAGGAGTCCTGCTTCTTAGTGCTCTTTGCACAATGCAGTATGAAGAAATGGCACGGGCATAACTGGGTAACAAATAACCGTGGTTATTAAATACTCACTGATGCAAAATACAATCTCCAGTGGCTTTAAAAAGTTACATTATGGTGGGTGATGTCAGGAAGTTAAAAAAACACTTAAAGGGGTACTGTACATCTCATCTCCTTTCCCTTTAATGTAAAATATGCACTCAGAATTTCGAGCTGTTGATGTTGAGAGATACATCTTTCACCACTTGCCATTTTGTGACGTGATGGTGAAGACCTAATGTAGTCTCATCTATTTATTTTGATAAAGTAGTTGGAACTCTTCAGATAAGACGACTTAATTTCATTTATAACCAGCACAGAAGTGCCAATCCTTAAAAATAACTCTTAGAGGCTTCCACTGCCTGCTTTGAATTAGTTAAGTTCATACAGGATATATCGGTCTATTTACAGTAGAAATGAACAGCAAGTTCAAACTTATGTCCCCAGTACTGCTGCAGAGTACTTGGCTGTTCTGAAGTATGCAGAAGCAGCATGTTTAAACATGCACTGTGTTTGCTGGCAGTCTTCCCGTTCTTTTACCATTTGCTGCATTAGTCTAGTCAATACTCTTCCTGTTCACTACATAATTTCCAAATGATTTTTTTCTTCTAGTGCCTGAATTTCTCAGTACCTGAGAATAACTACAGCTGTAAAAACCCCACTGTATGCTTAGAAGTTCTTTTCAAGTAAACAAAGCTGAAAATTTTTCTGTCCATTCATCCATCAGTGACATATACTTTAGTGGCACTGGACCACTTGTAGTTCTAATCATACTGTAACATTTGTCAAAAGCAAAGATCTAGCTGTAAGGTACCTTTCCAGCATCTGTTACTTCCCACCTCAAGGAACAAACAGGTAAGCCATATTCAGTCTATTAAGCTTAGTTCTCAGGCACCCTAATAATTTGTTTCACACGACTCATCTAAATCCTTACTCTCTCTTCCCACATAAAAAACAGGTTTCTAGTGATAGATGTGGGTTCAGGTGGTTTATCTGTTCCTTTTTAATTTACTGAAACTTGTGTGACCTGCTACACTCTCTATTCCAATGGATTCAACCGCATGTCTGGAGTTTGCTTTTTAGATGAATGCTTCAGTTTCGTTATGGTCTTTAGGAATCACACTCTCAGCCTGCGTGCACTGAATCTAGAACATATTTGATTGAGAGGCTGGGTTCCCGCCGACAAGGTCGGGAGTCACCTCTACAGGGAAGAGAGGCTTTTTTTTTTCTATTTCACACTCTGAAATAAGTAGGAAAAGGCTAGAATTGAAAAATATGTGTTTTATTATGAACAATGATCTGTATTTAAAAGAACCAATGGTTCTTCATTACTTTATTTGAAAAGAAATACCAGGTGTTCTTCCTATGGTACTTTGTCTTTCTTAAACAACACAAAAGAAGTTCACTGGACAGGATATCAGAGGCCAAAGGCATTTGTTTTCCTACCTCACAGATACTAAAAGATTTTAAAAAAAAGAAATATGGATATCCTAAATTTATTAAAATACTACCCATGTTTTTCTTCAGTGATGCTTCTTAATCTATCTGTAAACAACTCAATCACTGAAAAAAAATTTAAGTCCTTTTTTTTGTTTAAAGGAAGCAAGCTTCTCTGCAGCTGCCTTTTTGGACCAGCTACTGGGTACCTGTGTAACTATATATCTCATATAATTGAGTTCCAGTGCATTTATGGATTTTTTTTTTTCCCAAAAATATTTTGTAAGAATCCCAGGTCTTTCAAACCCAGGTCTTACTCATTTTATATATGTGTGTGTGCGTGTATAAAACAGTTCAAACTGTGATAACATATAGAGATCAAGAGTAGGTAAATTGATTTAATGTCCACCTATAGGAAGGATTAGGAATTAAGTACAACATGAAATCCAGTGTACTAGACCAGACAAATGCCACAGTGTGTCAGTTTAAATTCCTTGTGGTGAAACAGTGCCCCCTGATGCCCAGCAAGCCAGCTGGAAATAAAAAAAAAAAACCCTCCATTCTTCCAGATATTCTTGAAATCTGAAAACTGCAGTTCTTCTAAAAACTGCAGTTAATAATATGCAAAGTTGAGAACCAGTTAAGTCCACTACCTCATGCAAAGGACTTAGAGTCAGGTAAAGTTCTGTTTCCTTATTGTCATCATGTTCAGGCATCCAACTTTTCCCCAATGATGTTTTTTCATGTTTCCAAGTTGAATCCTTGAATCATCCCCATCTCAACAATCCTACCTCATCCTGTAGAGTCCTTCAAGGAAAGGAAGGTAAACTTGCAAAATTTCTCACAGACTTTTCTCACACCTTTGGTTCCCTCAGAGTATGAGCCAAGGTTATGCATTTGGTCTGTATTGGGGCAGAGCCCTGGGTCCTGGGAGGTAGAGGACAGTACCACAGAGGTTAGAGTCACAGTACCTGTTGAGTAACTTGATTGTAACAGATCTTTGAGAGTGAAAATTGAAAAATACCCTGTATTTCATTGCAGAACCACCAACTCAAAAAAAAATTTTAAAAAGGGGAGAGCTACGGGAAAAAACCCATGCCAACCTTGGAAAGCTCTGTGTGGATAAAGTTCTATATTGTAAGCTACATTTTATTGATAAGCCAAGGAATACAAATGTGAAGATGTAAAGAAGAAGAATGCATGCACTTCTCAATTATCATTGCAGTTTTATGTTTCGCAGTAGGGCAAAAAATGACAGAAGCTTGTTTGCTAGTCTGAATGGTTTAGATGGTTATATGGAAGTTTCCATAACTTATAATTTCTTTGTTGTCCACAGTTATCAAACGAATGGTAATTAATTGAAGAGTGCTTTGAGTTCCTTAGATGAAAAGTAGTATGCAGAAATGTTATAATTTAATGCAGGGTAACTCAACCTGAACACATGTGTATGAAGAGAGAACCTCAAGGAGACTTTTGCCCAACCTATGTATTTGGTATTCTCTCTCCCCTGCTGCCAACTCTCCTGATTTCAGCCTATTCCATACAGGGATGTTGTTAGTTCGTGCGCTTACTACTTGATATGTTTTTTTCTCTCTCTCGAGTACACGATCAGAAACTTAGAATAGAATAGAATCATAGAATAGAATCACTTTGGTTGGAAAAGACCTTTGAGATCATCGAGTCCAACCTTTAACCTAACCCTGCCATCCCACCACTAAACCATGTCCCTAAGCATCTATCCTTCTTTTAAATACCTCCAGGGATGAGGACTCTACCACCTCCCTGGGCAGCCCATTCCAGAGCCTGACAACCCTTTTGGTGAAGAAGTTTTTCCTAATGTCTAGCCTAAACCTGCCCTGGCGCAACTTCAAACCATTCCCCCTGGTCCTATCATCTGTTACCAGGGAGAAGAGGCCGACCCCCACCTCACTGCAGCCTCCTTTCAGGTAGTTGTAGAGGGCGATCAGGTCTCCCCTCAGCCTTCTCTTCTCCAGACTAAATAACCCCAGTTCCCTCAGCCGCTCCTCGTATGACTTGTGCTCCAGACCCCTCACCAGCTTGGTTGCTCTCCTCTGGACATGCTCCAGCAATGCAACATCTTTCTTGTAGTGAGGGGCCCAAAACTGAACGCTTGACATGACCTTTCCCTGAATATGCTCACTAGCTCAGAGCACCTAGATAAAGATATCTGGCAAATTATCAATAAAAGATGAGGAAGGAGTAAAAAGGCCTCTCTTCTCCTTACCATAATGAATGAGACCAGTTACTCTTTAATTGGCCTGTACAGGGGGAAACAATGACATTAGATGTATTTCTTGCCATCTTCCTGGAATAAATCTTTAGCTTTTAGAACAAAAGATAGCAATAAGATTTCACACTGAATCTTACTAGCAAAGGGAGTTCTTCATTCTTGTTACTACGTTTCAATAGACTGCCTTAGACTAATTGCATAATACCACACGCATTAATTGCTTCTGTGGAAAGGTAACAGCAGGGTAATATCGCACCTTGTATTTTTAATGATCTGTAAAGCTCCGTACGCCTTCTCCCTCGTGTCCTGTGTCTCCTGGGGAGGTGTGTGAGGGAAGATTTTACGATGTCGTTGAGCAGCTGAGAGATGCGCGTCGAGTTGCACAGCTGCTTACGGGCACAGGAAAAAGCAGCGGCCGCCAGCCTGGC